GTTAGCAGGTTTCACCCTCAGAGACCACCAGGGGTTCATGTTGAGGCATTTTCAGTTTTTTTTTTTTTTTTTGCCATAGACACTGTCAGCACAATCTGCAGTTACACTAACAAAAATGCTGCAAAAAACAAAGAATTATGGAAAAATTACACATGGACTAACATAGAGGAGGATCTACACAAGTTTTTTACATCATGTTTTACATCATGCATCATTTACATCATGTTTTTTTGTAGTGGCATAAATAAAAAGTGACATTTGTGAGACTATACAGTGTTTTGTAAATAATTTTACAAAGAACACCTGGGCCATTGCCTGCATTTTGATGTCAATAGAGGTAAATTACTATGTTCTTTGTTAAAAATTTGCATATGTTTTGAAGTTTACAATTTTTATTTGAAGTTTAAGTTTTAAAAACAGTTCATCACACATATTTGTGGTTTTCACAGTAAAAACGTTACTTTTTTCCACTCGGATTTTATGTTTTGTGTGTGAATTTGGGTCCAATGTGTAAATATAGTATGTCAAAATGATAAAATAACAGTAAATTGACACAGGTGAGGTTGTGCTGAAAAAAATGATACCAGGCAAGGCAAGGTAAAAATTTTGTAAGAGGAAATATAAAGGTAAAATCTAAAGTAGTCAAAAACGGCCAATAGTGACTCACAGACTCCACAGACAAGTCCCTTTGGCGCCACTCAGTGGGCAAAACTACTTTGTCTACTGTAATGTATATTTGGGTCATCTTTGGCGCCCCCTAAAACGTAAACCGTGGGGTGCAGCGTCATGATTTTTACAACTTTGAATGGCCATGGAGTGTAGATTGGCCTGAGCAAATTTGGTGTCAGTGGGACGAAAGCCTTAGGAGGAGTTAGCGAAATTCCAATGTGTGCGAATCGGCAAAAAATGCAAAATAGCCCTTTTACCGTACATTATACAGATACGCGCTCTTTGACTTTTTCGTAGATCTAATTGAGATACACATGATTGTCAATTTTTGTGTCATTTTGCCAAAGCGTACAGGCGTGACAGTCAACAATGTGTATTTTCACCTTAGGGGACAAGAAAAAATGGACTTTTTTCTCCTGCCATGGGGGGGCGCTCTTTTAGGGAGTAAAAATTCCTTCACAAATGTGTTGATGGCTGGACATTGCATCATCCTAGAAAACTTGGAGGCCAGTGAGGACAAAAATAAAAAGTTATAAGACTTTTAAAAATGTGGATTTTTGGGTTATCTTTGGCGCCCCCTAGAACGTAAACCGTGGGGTGCAGCGTCATGATTTGAATAACTTTTAATGGCCATGGGGTGTAGATTGTCCTGAGCAAATGTGGTGCCGGTGGAACGAAAGCCTTAGGAGGAGTTAGCCACATTCCAATGTGTGCGGATCGGCAAAAAATGCGAAATAACCCTTTAACCGTACATTTGACAGATACGCGCGCATGGACTTTTTTGTAGATCTTATTGAGATACATGTGTGTGTCAATTTTTGTGTCATTTTGACAAAGCGTACAGGCGTGACAGTCAATAGTGTGAATTTTCACCTTAGGGGACAAGAAAAAATGGACTTTTTTCTCCTGCCATGGGGGGGCGCTCTTTTGGGGAGTAAAAATTCCTTCACAAATGTGTTGATGGCTGGACATTGCATCATCCTAGAAAACTTGGAGGCCAGTGAGGACAAAAATAAAAAGTTATAAGACTTTTAAATATGTGGATTTTAGGGTTATCTTTGGCGCCCCCTAGAACCTAAACCGTGGGGTGCAGCGTCATGATTTTGATAACTTTTAATGGCCATGGGGTGTAGATTGGCCTGAGCAAATGTGGTGCCGGTGGAACGACAGCCTTCGGAGGAGTTAGCGAAATTCCAATGTGTGCGGATCGGCAAAAAATGCGAAATAACCCTTTAACCGTACATTTGACAGATACGCCCGCACTGACTTTTTTGTAGATCTTATTGAGATACATGTGTGTGTCAATTTTTGTGTCATTTGGACAAAGCGTACACGCGTGACAGTCAATAGTGTGAATTTTCACCTTAGGGGGCGCTATGGAGCCATTTTGCATTTTCTTGTTTGGGCGACTTCGGAATATCAAATTTTTCACCAGGCCCGGTCGTCCTGCCAAATTTCATGAGTTTTCGCCAGTGGGAAGTGGGCCATTTTCCAGTTCAAAGGGGAGGAAAAAGAAAAAAGAAAGAAAGAAACAAAGAAAAACCACTTGGGGAATAATAGGGCCTACGCCCGGCTGCTCTGCAGCTGGCTCGGGCCCTAAAAAGAAGGAAACATGCAGGAACAAGAGGGCTCTCGCAGCTGCTTAGCAGCTACGCTCGGGCCCTAAAGAAAGAAAGAAAGAAACAAAGAAAAACCACTTGGGGAATAATAGGGCTCTCGCAGCTGCTTAGCAGCTACGCTCGGGCCCTAAAGAAAGAAAGAAACAAAGAAAAACCACTTGGGGAATAATAGGGCCTACGCCCGGCTGCTCTGCAGCTGGCTCGGGCCCTAAAAAACCACTTGGGGAATAATAGGGCCTACGCCCGGCTGCTCTGCAGCTGGCTCGGGCCCTAAGAAAGAAAGAAAGAAAGAAAGAAAGAAACAAAGAAAAACCACTTGGGGAATAATAGGGCTCTCGCAGCTGCTTAGCAGCTACGCTCGGGCCCTAAAGAAAGAAACAAAGAAAAACCACTACAGGAATAACAGGGCCTACGCCCGGCTGCTCTGCAGCTGGCTCGGGCCCTAAAAAGAAAGAAAGAAACAAAGAAAAACCACTTGGGGAATAATAGGGCCTACGCCCGGCTGCTCTGCAGCTGGCTCGGGCCCTAAAAAGAAGAATCCATCAGGAACAAGAGGGCTCTCGCAGCTGCTTAGCAGCTACGCTCGGGCCCTAAAAAGAAGAATCCATCAGGAACAAGAGGGCTCTCGCAGCTGCTTAGCAGCTACGCTCTGGCCCTAATTATTTAGCCGCAGTAAAGCATAGCTTTGTAAGTTAGAAATTCATGCAGTGAAAGATTTATCACAGTGCTTTTTATTGCGAAAGCTCATAAGCGCAAGTAGCAAAGCATCTTCCTATACGTTAGTGTTAGTGCAAATTCTCTGATCTGATATTTAAGTAGAAATGCTGACACAGCATTTCCACTTATTGTTATTCTACTATTTAAGTGGAAATGCTGACACAGCATTTCCACTTATTGTTATTCTACTATTTAAGTGGAAATGCTGACACAGCATTTCCACTTATTGTTATTCTACTATTTCTTTATTATTATTATTATTTTTATTATTCTTCCGTACCTTTTTTGGCCCTTTTCAACTCCTTACCACTTTGTGCTATTTTAACCATTCAAACTTTATACTAATGCACTCCTTCAGGACATTATTGCTATTACTTTTCACCTTTCTACCATTTATACTTTTTGCAATATTTCACTTTTTCTGCTAAATTTGTTCCATTACAAATGAATGGAGATACAGCTATAACACCTTCTCACCCTTATAACTTCTGCATACTTTCACCTACAGACCTCATTTTTGCTTTAAAATGTTCAGCAACGTGTCTGCTACAAATGTTGTATTCACTCCTTTTTGCTATTTCCTACCGTTTTTGCACAATTTCGCTTGGAGCAACATGAAGTTTTCTGCCTTTTTGCAGCCAATACACACTGACACACGCTACAGCGTGCAACGTCAGAGGTGACGTCACCACTAGATGCGGCCGGAGCCTTTTGGATTCACTAGACCAAGCGTGATTATTTTGCTGCCACGGCCGCAATTTTCATTCCACAGCTATAAAAAACACATCATAATGGAGGTACACTGGTCCTGCTTCTCACAAAATACTCATAAAAAAGTCATCAAATTGTACAGCTTGCCCAGGAGCTGAGTATATACCACCGGAGTGCAGCGATGCTGCCCTTTGACTCCCATGTTAAATTCCGGCCAAGAAACCCTGACAATTACTACATACAAGCCGTTTTTTAACTCGCTGTTGTGGCCACATTTTTTACACTATTGGCATGAAAAATACAGTATTGTCGTTATAACAGTGTCAGGATTCCCAAGATGTTCTTATTTTTTGGGATACCACTCAAGGAAATTGTGCTAGGTGAAGAAGTTTACACGGTTTCTACTTCATTCTCGATAGTAGCACTTGTCATTGGCAGTGTGCTTTGCTCACAGGAGTCAGGCACGGCCGCGCGCACACACTGGATCCGTGTGTGGACTGCTGTCTTTCTGTTTATAGGAGCTACACCCGTAATACTTACTATGTTCCTATAGTTTTGGTGTTTAATTGTTGTAACATACAAACTACTTCTTATTCCTCTACTTCTGCTTTTCTTTACAGTCTACATTTATATAATTACTTTAACTTTAGCTCTTTAATATTTTCTACAATCGTATGTAGTGCAGTAACTGAAGCATGCTACTAGATGATGCTGTTATGCCTTAACAACTTACTATGTTGAGATGCAGACTGCACACGTCTTTTAATTATACTCTGCTAATAATAATGTCAGTATGAGTGTGACTTTATTACTACTTATATGATAACTACTATATATATCCCTTCTTTATTTCCTGTACTTAAAGTTTATTGTCAGCTTTATACAAGTTTTGTACAATTAAAGGTAATTTTTCAGCTTCTCTGTACGTTTCCTACAAATGTCTTTTATTTGTATATGTGCAGGACAAATATCCGACTCTAATGCTAAGCCAGCAGGTGAGCAGTTTTCAAAGTTGTGCTGAAATTGGGCTTATTGACACAGACACGCATGCAAGCGTGCACACGCAAGTAAATAAACATTCTTTGCCAGCATAATACCGTAATGTGTTTTCAACACTGACATGTCCGAGTGTTCCTGAATGTCTCAAAGACGTCAGCTGTGTGTCTGTGTGAACCCACGGTATTCTGTGTCAGACTCTGCTCAGGTAAGTCGATGCACAGTCTCTGTTAACGTCCAGACACTACAAATGAGAATTTCACGTTTCTACATGACACTGGTTTGACTTATATTTCATTAAGAGGATGTGAGTGGTTGAGATATTGACTTGAAAATGCGTACAATACATATGATATTGTTGAACAATATAACGCTAAAGCTATTATCGTCGAGCTAACGCTAAAGCTAACAGCATACTGTTAATAAGGCTGAGTCATGTGCTTGCTGAAATGCACAATATTGACTCAATATGTGAGCTGGCGTCATGTTATACACCGTGCCAGTTAATATTTACTTAAAAAAGTTCATTAATGTTGGTAGCGATGGGGATACTGCTATTGTAAAGCATTTGTTAATGGGAGACGATTGTGACGGTACCGCCGTTGCTAAAGGTAACAGACTGTTGATTACTGTTACTTCGTCATATTAACAGCTGGGTCATTGACACGGGGATGTTAGCTGTTAAGCTCCTGATTACGTTCTATCAATTTTGTAGATATTTTTGCTTATACAGGTTATCTTTACCAAGCACCTAGTTGTAACACATTGGAAATTATATTTTTTATGTGTTAAAATAATACAACATGCTGTTCTAATTATTGAGGGGGTTATTCATGATGGTAATGATATAGATATTTGCAATGTCAAACATCACATTATCGACATATATGCTCTACAACCACAAGTTCAAATAGATATAGATTTAATGGATGGGTTGTAAGCTGCCTTGAAGCTTGTGAACCAGCTCCTCCTCTATATTTGCTTCAGTAGCTGCTCCTGAAATTTATCTACTACTGTACCGTATGTTACCTTTATATGAGTTTGATATAATTCATAAAATGTATTCTGTGACATTTTAAGCTGCAGCTAACAGTGACGTGATGTTTTAGAGCTGTTTCATTTTCTATTACTATTATGACTAATAATGTTGCTTTTCTCATAGGCCTGCTGTTTTAATGTACTATGTATCTGACAGATAGCACTAATGTATTGTTTTTTGTCTCAAACAAACAGAAGATTATACCACTCCCGTGCGTTTATTGGTAAGTACAAGTGTTATTACCAAAAGTGACATTGTACTCTAAAAATTAGCTGGATGAATGTTTTGCTTTATCCTGCTAAACAACAACTCATGAGACATATATTTCAACAGATGATGCATCTAATAAAGACTGACTTTAATTACATATTAAATGTTGATCTTTCTCTATCAGTACTGCATATCTCCTATTATACATGTATATATATATATATATATATATATATATATATATATATATATATATATTGGATACATTTTTTCCTGGTGGACAAGTGTGTTAACAGTGTTACCACACAACTACATTTGTTTATTCAAAACATTTGAAGTTGCTGGGAAAGTGTGACTTCATTTTCATAATAATGATGAGGGAAAATCATTTGGGAAAATGAGTGAATGAAGTGAGCTGTGAGGTTGTTTGTTGTAAAGAGTATTAAATATCTCTTTTCTACATTTTAAGCTTCATGTTTTTCAGGCCAAGGTTGCTTCACTATAATCTTTCCAGTAATTATGTGGTATAAAACATGAACTTGGATTAGAAATGACAAAACTAATGATTGTCAATTAAAAATGGTTGTGCCTTCAATTAAGTATGACATAATGATTGTTTTGCAACTACATTTACATTTTCCTCCTCTATAATTTCACTGCTTCTGAAATTGGCTATTCTATCTCTTTAATGCAGACCATTGTGTGTTTTTTACAACACATTATGTAAAACCCTACATCATGTCATAATTTCACAAACTGCTGCATCTTTTCACTGAATTGTAACATTAACCATTTCAAACTATGCCTTATCTTAACTCAAGCTGAACCTAATGTTAATACGTTTGCTGCTTGATAACAATTGAATAATTATTACAGTGTCATCTTTTGTTTTTTGACAATGACACTCTAAATGTTTCATCTCTATTTTTCCATTTCCCCTCCTAGTGACTCTACCTTGTGTTTAAGTGCAGACCGCTTGCCAGTCAGTGTAAGTTTATACATGAATGACATTTTTATGAATATCACTGTGTGCCTTTATTGTACACATTTTACACACACCTCTCTTTCTGTAGTTTGTACAGAATTAAGGTTACTTTCATACACATGATATTTGATCACATGCTTATGAACATTATTATTAAGGCAATTAACATTGACTCATATAAGCATTCAAGATAAGTGGGTGATACATCTTTTGGTAAAATACACTGAGCTCGTACATACATTTCTTCATCTATTTAGTAACATTTTAGATGTTCAGTCCTGATACATTTTTGAAAAGATGATCAAATAACAATGCTCAGTTTCAGCATTTGACTCAACTACACTTTGAATAGATGTGTATTCAGAATTCCCATATGTTACTTTGAATGAAAGCACATTATAATGACATTAGTTTCGGGTGAATGTCGGTTGATTTAAATGTTTTTATTATATTTCATACAAATTATTAATATTTATTTCCATTTTTCTTACAGATATCCTGTACTGTCCCTCCACTCTCTCCTATCATTTTGGACATTCTGCCTTTCTATCTCTCCTCTATCCAACTCTGACTATTTGAACAGCTATTGCCAGCCTTTACAACCTATTTTGAAAGCCTTTACCACAGCCTTTGACAGCCTTTAAAAACCGTTGTGAAAGCCTTTAAGAAAGGCTTTGACTGCCTTTGACAGCCTTTCTACCACTTTTAGAGCCTTAAAAACGGGCATTCAGACACTTTGAGAACACTTTTTGGAAACAAGCTTTTCTTTTTCAACTGATCGCGTGTAAAAGCAATACTTTTGAAACAGCAAAATCTTTGAAAGTGCAAAATCGGAAACATCACAATCTTTCAAACAGCTGTACTTTTAAAACAACTACTGTTATAAAAAAGCAATAATTTTGCACAAGTGTTATTGTTCTTGTAGTTCTTCCTTTCCATTGTGTTGCTCTACAGTTTCACCTGAAGAAGTTTCATCACCATCACCGCTCCTGCCTCATTGATTTTGAGTTTGACAAATATACCTTTCATATTTTTGACTTGAATTTTATTTTAACAAAAAAGTCCTGACATCTAAACATTTGCTATTGATTTGTGTTTCTGTTAAATAACGTAGTTTCTGAAAACAATAAAGCATTTCTGTCCACTCTGGTGTAATCAATAACTTCACTTTGTTGTATAAAATCATTGTTGTGAAAGGATAGCTACAATGCCTAGGAAAAGTAAGAGGTCACAGGCTGCAAGTGAGCGCTGGCAGAGGAGACTTGACATTGATTGTGTAACTACTGAACAAGCAGATTGTGCTCCTCAGATCAGTGCAGAGACAAGGAAGGCTATGGTATCTGATGTTAACACTGTGAACCAGGGAGGTCAAAGTGCATCATGTTTATCACAGGTATCTGATGCAGATGTGTCTAAAAGGAATGTATATGAACCTCCCATAGCAGGCCCGTCTGATTGTGGACCGATAAAGCACAGAAATCAAAGCAATGATCCAGATGTACAACAGGTAACATGTGCAAACATGTTGAAAACAAAACTTCCTAGTGTGTCATGTACTGCTGGTCCATCCAACTGTCAAGCAAACTACGTAGCCAAAAGTGTTGAGTCATGTTCCACTCAGGTACCGTATGCAGACAGTGGAAAGAACTGTAGTGATGTAAATGTATCAGGCTCTTCTCGGCATGAAAATGTAAACACTGCATACCAGTCAGGAGAACAAAGTGTGTGTGCCTCACGCAGCCAAGCATCTCTGAAATACGGCCGATCCAGAAACCAGCAGTGCACCTGTAACTCGCTGACATTTCTAGCATTCCTGTATGAGAACGAAAACATCACCAGAGCAGATCTGGACCGTGTTATGGATAAAGGTGATGTGATGTATAGAGAAGTCAGAAAAACTGTTGATCACGCCCATCTGACAACCGATGAGCTCCCTCACCGGGTTCCTGCACGCAGACACATGCAGAATGTTGACAGGTCACAGCTGTCTAGATACGGTACGTTTGGAGATCCGGATCCCGGAGCTGTTGATACCTTTCTGGACCTCAAGTCGGGACTGAGCTGCTTATTATCAGATGTGCAGTATGCTTTGCTGTTGATGACTTCGCTGTGCATTGCAGTTTTCAGGACCAGAAATGGCAGATATGGTTTCTTTGACCCACATGCTAGGACACCTCATGGTTTGCCTCGACTCCAGCCTAGAAGTACTCCTGGCACTGCAGTCATGGTCACATTTACGCGACTCAGCGACATGATTGACAGGTTGATCAGTTATCACCACATATTGTCGACCCCAGAGTCCTGTAAGTATGAGCTGAAACCAGTTGTGTTTTATGATGTGAACCCAAATGATGATATCCCAGCCACAGAAGGTATGTCTACAAGTTCCTCTGTAACAACCACTGTGATAAATGATGACACAAGTGCTCCACAGATGAACACTGATGTTCATGAAAACACTGAGCATGACATGGAAACTGAACAGGAACAACTGATGGAGTTCAGCCAGTGTTCTGTCACATTAACTGGACCTGAATCTCTTGCTCCACAGATTACCACCACTGTAACTGATGACTCTCATGACCTCTCAACCCTGATAGAAACACAAGCACATCAACCTGAGCAAATCAGCAATAACTCTTTCAAATTACAGCAAATTCAGGACACACAATCAAATTTCACACAAGCATTAATAAATAATCCTGTCACCAGTGACAATGTCCTCAATGATATCTCCAGTACACTGTCAAAACTGAACAAAGCACAAAAGAAGAAAATTCTGAGGAGAGTAATGACACCTGAAAAGACACCACAAAAGAAAGACAATCAAAAAAGGAAAGAGAGAGAAAAGTATGCCAAGGATGAAACATATAAAGCAAAGAAAAAATGTTATTCAATGAGCAGATATTCTGTCAATCCTGAAATACAGACAAAGAAAAGACAAAATATCACAAGTAAATACAGGGAAAGCACAGACTTCAGACTGAAGCAAAAATTATACATGACAAGGAAATACAGAGAAAATGTGGATTTTAAAAACAGACAAAAACAATATATGAACAAAAAATACAGAGAAAATGTGGATTTTAAAGACAGAAAAAAACAATATCTGAACAAAAAATACAGAGAAAATGTGGATTTTAAAGACAGAAAAAAACAATATATCACTAAAAAATACAAAAACAATGTTGATTTTAAAGCCAGACAAAAACAATATATCACTACAAAATACTCAGAAAATGTTGCTTTTAAAACCAGACAAAAAGAATATATTAGGAAAAAATACTCAGAGGATGTAAATTTCCGGCAAAGACAGCGATCCTTTATGCATCATCGATATGCAAATGATATATTCCGCCACCAACACAGACAGCTGATGAGACGAATGATGCGAGACAGGTACAAGAAAAATCTTGCATACAGGACTATGCATAAAACCAGATGTGCATTGAAAATATCACAGAAATATAAAGCCATAAGTAAACGAACACGTCAGACTGACAGAGAGAGTGAAAACCCACTTATTGAAAGTGCCATAAATGATTTCAGATCACACATTAAAGCTGGTCCCACCCATGTTTGCACAGTTTGTCACAAAGCCTCATTTCCAAACCAGGTGCAAAAGTGCAAGAGGTCCAACTATGTGAAAAATCCAATCATGGTTTCAGCTTGTCTCAAAGGTCAGTACGTCCATGATTGTAACGATGACTACAGAAATCAGTGCACTGTCCCTGATGAGAGACTGAGTGGATTTGTCACACCTGCCATGACCATCTGAAAAATGGATCCATGCCCAAACTTGCCATAGCAAACAACTTGGAGCTTGCTGACATACCACCTGAGCTGTGTGACCTCAACATACTGGAGAGACATCTGATAGCAAAGTGCATAACATTTGCCAAAATCATTCCTCTTCCCAAAGGCAGACAGAGAGCTATACATGGTAATGTTGTATGTGTTCCCTCTGAAGTCCAGGAAACAATTCAGGCTCTACCCAGATTGAGAAATGAGTCTCAGGTGATGAGAGTAAAACTGAAGAGACGTTTGAGTTACAGAGGTCACCATCTGTTTCAGACTGTTACCTGGTCCAAGCTAGTGCAGGCCCTGCATAAGCTGAAAGAGATACACCCCCAGTATGAAAACATCACTATTAGAGATGAGGAGGAGTTATGTGACCCCACACTTCCTGATGATGGTGATGAGGATGAGGATGATGATGATGGTAATGATATTACAATGAATGATGACGACTATGATGATGAGGATTTGATGGAAATTGATAGAATTGAGGCTGCTGCCATGTATGAGGCTGAAACTGATGTTGAAAATGAGAATGAGAACACAGCTATGTGATAAAAGTCAGACCCAGGACAATGATGATCAGACACAACAACAGGACGCAGACATATCTAATGGTGGTGTTGTTTTGGAGTCGTGCCTTCAGCCACGGGATGTTTCTGAGGAGATATTGTGTTTCAGTGACTCTACATACTCAGTAGCTCCAGCAGAGAGAAACAGTCCAGTCAGTTTTTTTAAAACACCCAAACTGGAGGCCATGGCGTTCCCTGTTCAGTTTCCCACTGGTGAGAATACACTGGATGAAAACAGACCCATGAAATTATCACCCAGTAGTTACTTCAAAGCAAGGCTCTTTGGTGTTGATGATCGCCTGCCAGAGATACCAACTACCTGTTCTTTGCACAGTTTGTGACTGAAATACACTTGGCTACCTCCAGCATGTCAATACAGTTACGCAAAGGCAAACCTTTGACTAGAGATGGACGAAAAATAACATCCAAGATGTTGAGAGAAAAACTTGAAGTGGAGAGACTGGTGAGAAACAGAGATGCTATCAGATTTATGCAGCCGCTCAGAGGAACACCAGCCTACTGGGACAAAACTACAAAAGATCTGTTTGCTATGATCAGACAGCTGGGCAGTCCTACTTTCTTTGTCACATTTTCTGCAGCAGAAATGCGTTGGCCTGAGGTGATTATTGCAATAAAATTACAACAAGGTGAGGAAGTGAATTTTGAGGAGCTTGACTGGTCCACAAAGTGTGACATTCTGAGAAGCAATCCTGTGACAACGATGCGCATGTTTGATAAGCGTGTTGAAGCACTGTACAGAGATCTGATCATGTCTCCTGCACAACCCCTGGGCAAAGTTTTTGACTTCTTTTGGCGCCTCGAGTTTCAGCACAGAGGAAGTCCTCACATTCATGGTCTTTTGTGGGTAGACGGTGCACCTGTGTTTGAGAGAGACTCTGATAAAACTGTGTGTGACTTTGTGTCCAAACACATCTCTGCTCAGCTCCCTGACCCAAATAAACAGCCTGAACTGTACAAAAAGGTCAAAGAAGTGCAAATACACAGTAAGAACCACTCAAAGACATGTTTCAAAAGTGCAAGTTCTGGATGCCGTTTTGGATTCCCAAAACCACCCTCCAGACAGACAATGATAACAAGACCTGTGGATGACGATGAGGAGTCAGAGAGACTAAAGACAGCCAAAGAGAAACTTGCACCGCTAAATCAGCTGCTGAATAAACCTGAAACTGAATCCATGAGTTTTCAACAGCTCCTGTCTGTCTGTGACTTAACCGCTGATGAGTACGAGAAACACATGAATGTGATGAGTCAGTCCAGCAACATCATTCTGAAGCGTGAGCCAAAAGACTGCTGGGTAAACACCTACAACCCTCACCTGCTCAAAGCTTGGGATGCAAACATCGATGTGCAGTTTATTCTCACATACTACAGTCTAATCCATTACATATGTACGTACATGTGTAAAAGTGAGAACTCTGTGAGCCAGTACCTGCAAACACTCATTCAGAACTCCGACAGAGAATGTGTCAATGAATGTGATGAAATGAAAGCGGTCATGCAGGCGTATTCCAAAAAGCGAGAAGTATCAGCACAAGAAGCTGTTGCCCGAGTGACTTCCCTGAACATGAAAAAGAGTTCACGCAGTGTGGTTTTTGTCCCAACTGATGACAACCCAGTGAAAATGAGTCTGCCTGTGTCAAGCCTTGACAACACTACACCAGACAGCTTGAATGTGTGGATGACATCCTTAACAGACAAGTACAAATCCAGACCTGAATCACCAGAGTTTGAAGAGATGTGCATGGCTGATTTTGCTTCAACCTGCAGACTGGTGTATGGACAACAGACCAAGGGCAAGAAAGTGGTACCTTTGCTGAATGAACTAGGCTTTATACAGAGACGAGAAAGTGACAACGCTGCTGTCATCAGGTATCGCCGCATATCCAAAGAGAAATACCCTGAGCAGTTTTACGGCACATTGCTTAGACTGTATCTTCCATACAGATCAGACGATGAGCTGAAAAGACCATATCTACCCACGTATGAGTCCTTCTATGAGACAGGAGTGGTTCAGCTGCCGTATTCTGACCGACCCCTGCGTGTGAAACTCATTGTGAAAAGAAACAGAGAGAGATATGAAAAAAACAGTGAGGAAATTGACTCTGCTCTCGAGGAAAACAAAGGTATTGTCGATGAATGGTGTAATTTGGCACCTGAATCTGAACTGGTGAGGTTGGAGTGTATTGATGAACTGGATGCAAGACACTGTGATGATGAAAATGTCCAAGAGGATGTACCTGATTACAGTAGACAAGCAAATGCTGCTACAGAAGCCAGAGTCATGAGAGAGCCCCCTACAATCGATCCCACACGGTTACGACAAATGTATCAGAGTCTGAACCAGAAACAGGCATGTGTGTTCTATGCAGTGAGAGACTGGTGCATAAAACGAGTCTGTGGACTACAACCAGAGCAGTTTTTCTACTACATTGATGGTGGTGCTGGCACTGGAAAGTCACATCTCATTAAATGCATTCATTCAGAAGCATCAAAGATTCTGAGAACACTACCTAGACGTGCTGAGGAAGCTGACATCTCAAACCCGACTGTGCTGTTGACTGCTTTCACTGGAACTGCAGCCTTTAACATCTCTGGAACAACACTGCACTCTCTTCTCAAGTTGCCCAGAAGTTTGAAACCTCCTTTTCAAGGTCTTGGGAACCAACTTGATGAAATCAGGTGTGAGCTTTTAAATGCTGAAATCATCATCATTGATGAAATCTCCATGGTGTCGAAGCCTCTGTTTGCCTATGTGGATGTCAGACTGAAACAGATTAAAGGCAGCCACAAACCCTTTGGAGGAATGTCAGTCATTGCTGTGGGAGACTTTTACCAGCTACCGCCTGTGCGACAGTCCAAACCACTCTGTGTCTATGATCCAACTGAGCTTGACCTCTGGAGAGACAGCTTCCAGATGATCACTTTAGATGAGATCATGCGACAGAAGGATGACAAAACTTTTGCTGAGATGCTGAACAGACTTCGTGTGAAAACAAGGTCAGATGAGCTTTCTGAAGCTGACAGAGCTCTGCTGTCACAGCGTGTCACTGAACCACAACTGTGTCCCTCTGATGTCCTGCACATTTTTGCTACAAACAAACAAGTCGCAGCACACAACTCTGCTACACTATCTCAGCGCCATTCTGATATCACCACCATTTATGCAGATGACTTTAAAAACGACCCACAGACTGGACACATGAAAAGACAAGGTGCACCATGTCATGGAAGCAGAAATGACCTACCTGACACACTAGATGTTGCAGTAGGTGCTAGAGTCATGCTCATCAGAAACATTGATGTGTCTCAAGGATTGGTGAATGGATCATTTGCTACAATAGGCCGTCTCATAAGCTCTGAAAACAATGGTTCTGCTCTTGTCACTATGCTTGGACTTACGATGGATGATGAAACAGCTGGCAGGAGCTACCGTACAAGAGGAGACAATCTTGTGTACATCGAGAGATCTGAGGAGGCTCTAAAACAGAGAGGAGTGGTACGCAGACAGTTTCCTGTAAAACTTGCCTTTGCATGCACGATCCATAAGGTTCAAGGTATGACCAGAAAATCTGCTGTTGTCTCACTGAAGCACATTTTTGAGCCCGGCATGGCCTACGTAGCTATCAGTCGAGTGACCTCTCTCAGCGGACTGCACATGCTTGATTTGGATGACAGTAAAATCTATGCTAACCCTGCAGTCACTTTATCTTTAGAGACCATGAGGCAAGCTAACTTTGATCACATCATGCCTTTTCTCCAGATCCAGCATTCTCTCAGCAGACAGGACACTGTGAGCATCATTCATCATAACACCGAAGGATTACCTGCTCATGTGAATGACATCAAAAACCATCATGAACTGTGTCTTGCAGATGTTTTGTGTCTGACAGAAACTCACCTACAGGGCTCCTTTGTGGCAGACAGTCTCCAGTTTGAGGGCTACACCATGTTGAAACGCAACAGACATTTGTCCTACACTAACTTTCCACAGATGGCCAATAAAGGAGGTGGTGGAGTTGCTGTTTATGTGAAAAACCATTTGCAGGTTGTGGAGAAGCAGTACCTGAATAATGTCACTGACCTTGAGTTTGTGGCTTTGAAGGTTGAATCTCCTGTAAGTGCTCTGATTGCAGCTGTGTACAGACCTCCAGACTACAGTGTGCCATCATTCCTGTCCAATCTGGGAAGCCTTCTGGACTCACTTGAGATCATGGACTGTCATCCTATCATTGTCTGTGGCGACTTCAATGAGAATCTCTTTTCTAATGCAAGTAAGCCAATTTTGGATTTCTTTCAGTCCAAGGGATATGGTCAACTGATCACTGCTGCTACAACGGACAAGAACACACTGCTGGACCTGATTTTCATCTCACAACCTCAGCTATGTCTCTCCTCAGGTATTGTGCAGACGTACTACAGTTACCACAATGCAACTTACTGTATTATTTCATCCAACAGGTCATAGAGGAAACTGCTCTTAAGGAAAAGACAAACTACAGCAGCTGTGGCTAATGTAATGCCATAGTTTCAGTACAGATTGAAATGTGTTCGGTGATTGTAAATTTTACTACTGCAAAAAATATTTTTATGGCTCAGAATTTTTCCAAAGAAAATATTTTTCAGCTTGTAAAATTTTCCAACTATTCAAATGTTATAAATTACAATTTTTGGCCTGTGCATTTATCAAGTCCAGTCAAGTCAAGTTAATCCATTTAACTTGACTTGACTGGACATAGGGAGGGTGGGTGCGGATTGATCAATGCACAGGCCAAAACTCTCAGCTGCTGTGTACAATAATGTATACAGCAGCTAAAATTAAAAACCTCCATCAGAAAGTGTGTGTTCCCTAATGAACACACTTTCTGATGTTCTGTTACCTACCAGCTGAAACCCCCCTTTTCTCCACCCAACTTTACACCACTCTCTTAGCATGGGTGGCTGTTAGTACACTAGAGCAAACGTAAGTTTCCTTTTGTTTGGGTATTTTTTTCTTCTTCTTCAGTTGTCTCTGCCATCTTTCACCTGACCATTAGTGCTGTCCTGACTAGCTCACTGTGAGGAGAAAAAAGTTATCAAACCGTCAACCAGAAGTAAACACATCACTTTGGACAACTCAAAGACACAGTCTAACTGCTGTTTAACCCAGTCTTTGGTCGGAGTTGAAGAAGAGATGACATCCTCCACACCATCCCTCTGCTGCTCTCAACAACCATCACCCGCTGTGCTGGACAGACTGCAGCACCCACCAGGACCCTTCTCTCATGGACTACACAAACATGTGTTTTACCTGATCGTGCTCCAGATGTCCTGAAGCAGCTCTCAATGACCACCAGACACCAGACTGAAGCAGAACTGATGCTGTAGTACCTGTCACTCACTGGGCTCGTTCCTGCTGAACCTCCAAGAGATAAACCCCTCTTCAAGAAAGTCTGAGGTAATGTCTTACTGAACTTGTGTTCATTTATTTTTTCTGTTATCTTAGCTGCTGTATTAATGCTTGTGACGCTATTGTACAGCTCTGCTGATATCATCGTCTTTAACAGCAGTGTTTTCTCCCAGGTCTTCTTCAAGCCAGTTAAGAAAGGAAGAACAGCTTAGACACTCAGGCAGCTGAACTCACCAAAGGTGGACATCATGCAGCCCCCCTGAGCCTTGAGCCTCTCTGTGTGAGGAAGCTTTGCTGCTGCAGACCTGGTGAAGTTGCTCTGGACAGAAATATTTTTTGCTCTGCTGCAGTGCTGAAGGTATTCATTGTAATGATGTGTGTATTTATTCAATATGTTTAGTTTCACAGATTATCAACACAAATGTTTCTGTTTATTTCCTGTTTTCAACCAGCTACATTCTCCTACTTCAAGTCACTGTCTGTTCATCCACGGTGTAGCTAGTGCAGCTAACTAATGGTGATCCTACAAGTCCTGCAGTCCTGTGAAGCAAGCTGCAGCAGATGTCATCACATTCAGATCATCAGTTCATCTCTACTGCAGCTTTAAACTGTCCCTGAGGTAACGGTGTATTTCCTTGCCCCATAACAATAACCATGTTTGACAAACATAGAAAAGCACAGTATTACTGTTAGCACAGGATTTTTGTATTGATTACAGAGTTAAAGTGAAGGGGATTTTTTTTTTTTTTTCAGACCTCTCTTCCTCCTGCCTCTGACTCCAGTGATGCTGTCAACTCGAACACTGATAACTGCACACGGCGATTCTACAACCACAGGTCAAAGGTCAAAACATTACCTTCACTCTGAACTGTACCGGCCTCTGCTTTTGGTTTTGAAAAAAGTGCCCAGACAGAACACAGTACTCACTTCAGGAACTGACTGATTGTCTTCAGGACAGGACAACTTTTACTCTTATATTGTTTTGAATCCTGTTTTCTATATTAAGTGATCGGTTGTCGATATCTGTTAATATTTTAAGTTTCCTTTATGTTTCTTGGACTTTATTTGTTCTATTTTATTTGAGTATTGTCTTTCCCTTTTACTGTGTATCTGTCCTTATATCAAAAGATGACCAACACTGATGAAGGGAAAAAATACCAGTTACTTCAGTTGTTGCAGGCAGCTGAATTTCTCGCTTTAATATGTTCACCATATCCCTCAAATTTACCTACAAGAGAAGACGTGGTTTTAGAAATAAATGATTTACTTGGGGTTTCAGCTGGTAGGTACACTGCAGGTTTTTCACGTGTGCTTAGTCTTGGGCTAATGTCTTGAACAGCAGTGATCCCAGCATTACAGTGTGAAACAATCCCTGCTGAAGGTTGTCGTCACAATCATCAAACACAGGGCTTGGTTAAACGAGCTGTGTGAATGGATTTCATAGAGGAACAAAGTTTTGATGCTTATCCTTAAAATGTAATTCTCCATAGTAGATAACTTTTTCAAAAGAAACTATCAACATGAAGACAACCCAGCATTTCAGTAAGACAAGTAGTGTGAATGTTTGGATAAGAAAACACTGGGATCTAAAATGCTGACCAGATTGTCAGTCCACTGCAATGAGCTGATGACAGTACTAGCCTTGGTCTAACTACTGTGAAAAGCCTTTTGGGTGGTAAGGTGGACCAATAGATGCTATAAAACATACTTCAGTGCCATATTTAAGTTGTTAACCTTTCACCTTTGCCTGTATATTTCCGTACGCCTGAATGACTTTGCATCTTTTGCATTTGCATTGTTTACCTTACCCTCCACATTATATTTAATTTTTCATTTAGATTTAATTGAAAAACAATTATTTTAATTTCTGTAAAATACTTCTGTACCACACTCTACAGTAAACTGCTGAGTTATTTTTCCAAGCAAAAGTGCTGACCAGATTGTCAGTCCACTACAATGAGCTGATGACAGTATTAGCCTTGGTCTACTGTGAAAAGCCTTTTGGTGGTAAGGTGGACCAATACATTACATCAATTTATTTCAAGTTCTCAGATCTACTTTTTAATCTGATTATTTTAGATTTTGTTTAAAGTTTCAGTTTCACATCATTTAATTTTATTTATTATTATAATTATTTATTATTCTATAATTTTCTTTTTTTTCTACATGAGAGGGCCCACATTTCACTGCAGTTAGCTTTAAAAAATACTATAATGCCATATTTAATTCAAAAGCCTTTCACCTCACTTTGCCTGTATATTTGCACAAGCCTGGATAACTTTTAATTATTTCCATTTGCATTCTTTACCTTACCCTTCACATTATTTTACATTTTTATTCAAATTTCATTTCTTTTTTAAATTTTAACTTCTCTGAAACAATTCTGTACTACACTTTACAGTAAACTGCTGGGTTATTTTTGCATACTATTCCTCATGTTCCATTCTATACTTTTTGTGATTCACATTTATGTTGTTATACTGCTGACCGATTGTAATAACTACTTTTTTTTATAACTCTCAAGTCACCACTTTCATATATCTTTTTTAATGTATAGGTATAAAGGTTTTTCAGATGTGCAAACTTAGTCTTAGGCTAATCTAAACCCTTAAAAACACGCATAACAGTCCTGTATCAGACTTTGAAATCAAATGTCAAGGTCTGTTTTTAAAGCCCACAACACAGGACTTGGCTTAATGGGCCATGACAAATTTTATGAGCCAACTTTTGTTAAGGCTTAGTAATCTGAAAACACAAGAAAAGAGGTGAATGTGGGTACAGGGCTGCTGGAGTTTGAATCCAGTAAATAATGGGGTGTTAGCCTCAGTCTAACAACTGTGTGAAGAGCCTTTAATGATTGGGCTAAACAATTTTACAAACAACTGAAAATGTGATAACTTTATCCATCAACAATCACAGCAACAACAATCTTAAAACCTTAAGCTTAAGAGACAGATTGGTCACCCATGTAAAGATTTCTGCTTCCAAAACCTCTTCACAAACAAATTGTTTATAATTTCATTTAAGCCACTATGGAACACTGTTTCTTTGTGTGTTTATGTTTTCATGTTTTTTGTTTTTTATGTTTTATGATTTATCATTTCATTGCTCACAAAATGTTAAAGGATTGACAAAAATATTTTCTTTTTTTCTTTCTTTTGGTTTTACTTATGTAAAAACTCAGTTTGAATTTTTTAACTTGATGCTAATTTTACATTAAATATATTTCTGTAATGTGTTTATGTCTCATCTACATTCATTTCTACTTCTACCAACATGAAGGCCTTTTCAGCCATCTTTAAAATTATTTACCATATTTTCTGTAGTCTTCAAGTTCAGTTCTTTAGCAATTGGAATATTCATACAGCTTTTGGTTTACCTCTCCCAGTGTTTTTACATCCATACAACTTATCTCTTTTTCATCATCTTCTTCAGTTGTGTTACGGTTTAAACATTCATACAATTTCTACTTATTACACTTCACCCCTTTAACAGTTGTTTCATATATACTCTCCTCCATTTTTTTCACAGTTTTGCATGCTTGGCTTGTCAGTTTTCAGCACTCTGCATTTCCACGCATTTTCTGCACGGAAATGCAATTTTTCTTGAATTTACGTTGATAGTCTTTCACCGTTTCGGAGTGAAGCGTTCAGGGCAGCCTCAGATAAAAGAATGCTGTATTGGACCCGCAGATGTTCACAGAGCCTCATACTGGAAAGCATGTAAAACATAGGAGGACTTTAACACCAATATTTGTGCAGTCAGTACTTTCAAGGCATATCGTAGCTATTGTTTTTTATTAGGGCCCGAGCCAGCTGCAGAGCAGCCGGGCGTAGGCCCTATTATTCCCCAAGTGGTTTTTCTTTGTTTCTTTCTTTAGGGCCCGAGCGTAGCTGCTAAGCAGCTGCGAGAGCCCTATTATTCCCCAAGTGGTTTTTCTTTGTTTCTTTAGGGCCCGAGCCAGCTGCAGAGCAGCCGGGCGTAGGCCCTGTTATTCCTGTAGGGGTTTTTCTTTGTTTCTTTCTTAGGGCCCGAGCGTAGCTGCTAAGCAGCTGCGAGAGCCCTATTATTCCCCAAGTGGTTTTTCTTTGTTTCTTTAGGGCCCGAGCGTAGCTGCTAAGCAGCTGCGAGAGCCCTCTTGTTCCTGCATGTTTCCTTCTTTAGGGCCCGAGCGTAGCTGCTAAGCAGCTGCGAGAGCCCTATTATTCCTGATGGATTCTTCTTTCTTCTTCTTCTTATTATTTTTCTGCCCCTTTGAACTGGAAAATGGCCCACTTCCCACTGGTGAAAAGTCATGAAATTTGGCAGGACGACCGGGCCTGGTGAAAAATTCGATATTCTGAAGTCGCCCAAAAAATCAAATGCAAAATGGCTCCATAGCGCCCCCTAAGGTGAAAAATTCACGTGATTGAGTGTCACGCCTGTACGCTTTGTCAAAATGACACAAAATTTGACACACACGTGTATCTCAATAAGATCTACAAAAAAGTCAGTGCGGGCGTATCTGTCAAATGTACGGTTAAAGGGCTATTTCGCATTTTTTGCCGATCCGCACACATTGGAATTTCGCTAACTCCTCCGAAGGCTTTCGTTCCACCGGCACCAAATTTGCTCAGGCCAATCTACACCCCATGGCCATTAAAAGTTGTACAAATCATGACGCTGCATCCCACGGTTTACGTTCTAGGGGGCGCCAAAGATAACCCAGAAATCCACATTCTTAAAAGTCGTATAACTTTTTATTTTTGTCCTCACTGGCCTCCAAGTTTTCTAGGATGATGCAATGTCCAGCCATCAACACATTTGTGAAGGAATTTTTACTCCCCAAAAGAGCGCCCCCCCATGGCAGGAGAAAAAAGTCAATTTTTTCTTGTCTCCTAAGGCGAAAATTCACACTATTGACTGTCACGCCTTTACGCTTTGTCATATTGACACAAAAATTGACACACACATGTATCTCAGTAAGATCTACAAAAAAGTCAGTGCGGGCGTATCTGTCAAATGTACGGTGAAAGGGCTATTTCGCATTTTTTGCCGATCCGCACACATTGGAATTTCGCTAACTCCTCCGAAGGCTTTCGTTCCAAAGGCACCACATTTGCTGAGGCCAATCTACACCCCATGGCCATTCAAAGTTGTACAAATCATGACGCTGCACCCCACGGTTTACGTTCTAGGGGGCGCCAAAGATAACCCAAAAATCCACAGTCTTAAAAGTCTTATAACTTTTTATTTTTGTCCTCACTGGCCTCCAAGTTCTCTAGGATGATGCAATGTCCAGCCATCAACACATTTGTGAAGGAATTTTTACTCGCCAAAAGAGCGCCCCCCATGGCAGGAGAAAAAAGTCCATTTTTTCTTGTCTCCTAAGGCGAAAATACACATTGTTGACTGTCACGCCTTTACGCTTTGTCAAAATGACACAAAATTTGACACACACATGTATCTCAATAAGATCTACAAAAAAGTCAGTGCGGGCGTATCTGTCAAATGTACGGTTAAAGGGTTATTTCGCATTTTTTGCCGATCCGCACACATTGGAATTTCGCTAACTCCTCCTAAATCTTTTGTCCCATCGGCTTCAAATTTGCTCAGGTCAATCTACACCCCATGGCCATTCAAAGTTGTACAAATCATGACGCTGCACCCCACAGTTTACGTTCTAGGGGGCGCCAAAGAGGACCCAAATATCCACATTTTTAAAAGTCTTATAACTTTTTATTTTTGTCCTCACTGGCCTCCAAGTTTTCTAGGATTATGCAATGTCCAGCCATCAACACATTTGTGAAGGAATTTTTTCTCCCCAAAAGAGCGCCCCCCCATGGCAGGAGAAAAAGTCAAGTTTTTCCTGCCCATCGCTCAATGGCTCAAACGCATCGCTCTCTCTGCAAAACCGAAAGG